ATTTAAACTTAGTTTGATAAAATTGATCCTAACTGCAACTATAGATTTTTTTGATCAATTAACATCTTAAAAATATATAAAATATATTTTATATATTTAATATTTAGTTTAATATACTTTTAAAATAGTAAAAAGAAAAAACTAAAAGGTAAAGCATTAAGAAATGTTATCAAATGAAACTTTATTTTAAAAATCGAGATTAATGTTTATTTTTTTCATATTGTAATTGAATATTTAAATTAAAAATTAAAAAATAGTAAAATTAATGAACCAAACACACCCTTCACTTTTTTCGGTAATAAAAAGTAATTTATAAAGCTCACCGAACAAATTGGTTGAAAAAGGGGCTCACCAAACATGAACTAAATAATACTTTTTAATTTTTGAACATATTACAATTATTTACAAGTTAATTAAGAGATAAGGAAAAGGATTTCATGGGGCTCAAATATGCAACTCATAGGAGATGAACATTTATAACCTAGAGTTCAATATCATTGGATCGAAGTGAACGTTCAAATAAGACTTTTCAATTGAACCTAACTAATAAGAGTATTATTATTATTTTGAATAAGTAAAAATTTATAGTGAGAAAGAATTTAAGCAGGCATCATATTGGTTCTTTTTTTTTAATATAAAATTAAAAATCAATTAATTCAAAAACACAGTTACAAATGACAAAATAAATAAAAATTAAAAATTAAAGTAATTCATCTGAGGATACTCCTATAAAAGAGCGATTCTTCTCCTTTTGACTCTTCCCCCCAACTGAAACTCTTCTGTTTCTCCCCTTATTTCTCTCTGTTCTTCTTTTTTCCAGCTTTAATACTGAATTTGGAGCTCTGGAATACCAAAAGAAATCATTTTTGCCAATACCCATCTCTTCTTCTTGTAGATTGAACCTATCCAAGTTTTTAAAAATGAATCGAGACTCTTCCTGGATCAAATACACTGAGCATCGAACAGTTACCAGTAAAGTAGTGAGGCCATGGAGTGGGTGGGATTCTATGGACTCCGGCAGCCTCAAAACCCCAAGAATCGTTCGGATTTCAGTTACTGACGGGGATGCTACGGATTCATCCAGTGATGAGGATCAGGAGCTGAACCAGAGGGTCGTGAAAAGGCACATCAACGAGATCAAGATTGAAGCTTTCTCTGCGGTCCATATCACCAGGCAAAGCAAGCAAATTAGGCAAACAACGAAGAACAATACCGGACTTGGAAGATCAAAAAAGCAGCAACATTTCCCGAACGGCATCAAGTACATCGGTGTCCGACAAAGACCGTGGGGTAGGTGGGCGTCGGAGATCAGAGATCCAAAAACGCGTTCCAGGGTCTGGCTTGGAACTTACGACACCCCGGAAGAGGCAGCTTTGGCGTACGACAAGGCTGCCATTCGCATCAAAGGTCCTGACGCCCAAACCAATTTCTCGAAATTTCCGCTGAAATACACGCCGCCTCCTCGGATTGATATCAACTCATATACAAATTCCGGATATGACTCCGGTAAAGACTCGCAGAGCCTCTGTTCTCCCACCTCCGTCCTCCGTTTCCAGCCCAATGAAGAAACAGATGTAGGAACAGAATCCAAAGCCGAGTGTTCACATGTACAAATTCGCCACTCAGACCAGCCCATAGAAGCCGATCCGATTCAAGACCCAAAAGAAGAATCGTCTGAATCACTGTTACATGAATCTCTGTTAGATCCATACTTATTCTGTTCCGAGTCTTCTCCGGCAATATTCCCTGATGACACTATATTATTGGAAGAATCTACTTTGAAGGACGATTACCTCAATTTCTCTGATGAACTGGATATAGATTTTGGGTCTTTTTCCTGGGATGTTGAAAATTATTACTGATTTTTTTTTCCTGGGATATGGAAAATTACTATTGATCTCACATGGTCCTCGGCTTAATTTGGTAGATATGGAGTGAAATTTTGGATACAAATTCAGGATTTTAAGTGTGTTTTCGGATAAGTAAATATGTAAATTCTCTTTTCTTGTTCCTCTTAATTTCGAATGAATTTGGTGGTTTGGTTTGGTATGCGTTTCCATGCGCGTGATGTTCTGTCTTCAAATTCAAAGACTTGTGTGTGTTCTTAATTCAAAGGCTGCTTTGTTAATCTTTTTCTTTGGCCTGTTTGTATCTGTGTCTTTAATGTGATGGATAGATATTTTTAATTTTTTCCAAAGGGAACCATGCATTGGCGCGGGGACTCAAAAAAAGGCTGCCATTGTAGCCAAAGTTGAACTCCCATCCCATGTTCCACAGTTCACTGCCTTTTGTCCCTCCACACTCCACAGCCATTGCCTATTTGCCCTTTCTATGATTGTCCTTAACCATCTTTTTTCCGCCATCGACTCCATGTTCTGTACTCATGTTCAAGAAAAAAAACTTAGAAAATGACAACGAAAGACACCACTGAGTCCGAGATTTACAAGACCAACGTTGGACAAGGACATATCTTTATGGGAACAGATCAATCCGTCCCTCTCATCCACATGTTGACCAAAGGCAGGAGATATGTAATTCTATATGGGAAACTGTTGTTTTTTCCTTTTACTCTGCTCTCTGGAAGCAATAAAAAGTTTCGGAAAGTATGGCTATGGAGGCTTAGGTTTGCAGTCTAGGTGGTGGTTTTTTTTCAATAAATTTGGCGGGTTTGCTTTTCAGGTGATGTACTTCCGGCGTGCTTGAATTTCCGGCCACCCACTCCACTTTTTCAGTCAACAAAATAACAGAAAAAGGATGAAAAATTCAGACCCCACTTGCAAATTTTCAGGCCTGTTACTGTGATGACTATGCTTCTTCTTCAAGTTGTTTTTATTCTCCGATTTAATGCAGGAGGGCCAAAAAAAAAAAAAACAACCAAATCAGTTGCTTGCTTCAGCAGTCTGACTCGTTGGTCCCCACAACAAAATTGTAAAAAGAAATATCGAGGCATGCTTAAGAATCGAAACGAAAATTTGCCGTAACTTCAGGACATCCCAATTTATATATATATAATCTTTAGTTACACATTTACTTCTCTCTTGTATTAGAAAAGGAATGTATGCTTATATGTTTTTGTAGTAATATTAATCATTTAAATAGTTTAATAGTAATTTTTTTATT